CTGCACTGTTTGAAGGTCGGTTATCTGCTTGAAAAGCCGATTCCAATTATCTACTATCCTATTGCCTAAAAAGTGCTTCCTCATGTTTAGTCGACACCTCTGTTTCATGAGCTTGAACTCATGCCTCCTAGTGCCGTGTTGGGGAGCTAATATGAAGAGGCTTTCCGCTCCTATCCCCGATATTTCCTTTACTATTTTGAAGTTTTCTATCGGGTCCCCTCGCAGTCTCCGTCTTTTTAATTAGAAAAGCCCTAGAGTCTCTAGTCTTTCCTCATATGTTCTTCCCCTTTGACTTTCAACCATTTTGGTGGCCAATATCTGAACTTTCTCCAAACAGGCAGTATTCTGCTTGAATAAGAGTGACCAAACCTGTCTAGGTGTGGTCTGACTATGGCTTTGTAAACGGAAATGAAGACTTCCGGTCGTCTTCATGCTAGGGCGAACCGTAGTCTAAATAATTCCCCCTAGCCCTGCGCGCTGCCACTGCACACTGATCAGACCACTTAATATTGTTCGGTACCACTACCCCCATGTTCTTAACCCTAGTAGCGGGTTTGATAGCGAACTGGTGCTCTTCCGATCGAACTTCCAGTCCATCAAATTCCCCTGTGAGCACATGACTCTTCGTTGTGTTAAGACTTAGGTCCCATTCCTTTGCCCACCTAGCAACTTGCTCTAAATCCCGCTCCAGATCACTCCTCTCATTCGAACCAACCACATTGACGTCATCTGCAAAAATGTAGCAAAATGAGATCAGAATGTTTGGTAAGTTGTTTATGTACAGAAGGAATAGAAGCGGTCCTAATACTGAGCCTTGTGGAACTCCGCTAGTCAGCTGAACTGGTGTTGAACTTTTATCATCAACTGTCACATAAAATGATCGTTGTGAGAGAAAAGCTTTTATCCACCTGTGCAACTGTCCTTGGATTCCGAATCGTTCTAATTTGGTCAACAACAGGCGATGATTCACTGAATCAAAAGCCCTTCTGAAGTCCAGGTAGCAAACCTCTACGGTTTCACCCTCATCCATCTTTGCAGTAACATCCTCCAAAAAGCACAACAGGTTTGTTAAGCATGAACGTTGCTTAACGAATCCATGATGTGCCTCTGTCATGAGTATGTTCTGCTCCAGATGTTTCACTGGATGCGTTCTATCTTCTCTAGTACTTTGTATAGCACGCTAGTTAAACTAACAGGTCGATTGTCTTTTACATCTGTCTACTTACCGCCTTTGTGTATTGCTACTACCGAAGCTGTTCTCCAGTCGGACGGTAAGCTCCTTTCAGCTAGTGATGTCCTAAAATGGCTGCAAATCGGCCCCGCATATATTTATTTCAGCAATGGGCTTGATGATCATTCGGCTAATTCCGTCTGGTCTGGGAGCCTTGGAAACCTTAAGACCGCCTACTACCTAAGATACTTGATCAAATGTGACCAGTAGTTCATTCACTACGTCTGTCGCCGAGGGCTGGGAAGCACTTGACTCAAGAGTGCCTAACCTTTGCACGCTACTGAAGTAATTGCAGACTGTATCAGCTTTACTCTGGTTTTCAGTTATAACCCTATTTCCCTCAAGTATCCGTGGGCCCGTCTCTTCCCTGGAGGAGCCCTTTGACTTTGCATACCTGTAGTACCTCTTTGGCTCCAGCTTCACTTTCTGGGCCAGCTTCATCTCAATAAACCTCTTTTTCTCCCTCAGTAGATTAACCACTGCATTTCTGTGGGCTGTGTAGTTAACTCACGACCTGTGAGTGCCTGCTAGCTGATAAGCTCGCCAGCTTCGGTTTAGATACCTAATGGCCCTGGCTACTGCAGCTCGCCACCAAGGAGGTTTTCCCTTGTGCTTCCTATATCTTGATGGGATAAACAGGTTCTGGAGGTTAAGGAGTTTGTGTTTGATTAACAACCAGTATTCCTCGACGTCTGAGGTGTCTCACTCGGGAATCCACTGCATTCGTGCAATGTATTCCCAAAGCCTACAGATATTCATTCAACCAAAATCACTACACATTCGTAATCTACATATGAGTGGCTTCGTTTGGATATCGACCCCGATGAGGAGCTTAACGTTCTTCTCCATCGGCAGATATCCAAAGGCACAAATTACATCCAGTTTCTTTCTGGAAATGACAAGGTCCAGTAAGGATGGTTCCTGCTGAGCTCTGAACCGCGTGCAGAATGCAACATTCTGAAAGAGCGCCCTTGTGTTTATACACCCTAAAAACCTTTCGTTCTGAATATCTTGGGTGCATCAACCTGCTATCCAATATATATCTATATCAGGTAAGTTAAAGTCACCAACTATGCATAGCTTTGCTGATTCCTGAACTAAGAAGTCTAGTGCATCAATCAGTGCCCGATCATCGGTGACCTCAGCCCCGGGACACCGGTAGAAGCACACCATCGTAATCTTATTTTCCGATAACAGCAGAGTTACGGCACATAACCGAACGCAGTGCAGGTTCACCGAAACTTTTTAAACCATGTGCACAATGTCTTTCCTTATGAGAGGGGCTACTTCTCCTCCTGGTGCTGTAGGTCTATCCTCAAGTTCAATGTCAGGTCAGGTTGTACAGGACTGATAATGGCCACGGCCAGTCGAGCGTCCAAATTTCTTCCGGTTCACAAAGTGTGCACCCACCACTGTGAATTGCCTTCAGTGCGACGTCCTTACTGAAAAGGAAGGGAAAAAGCTCTTTTCCTTTCACTTCATCGGCGACCAAGAGACATGGGTCGTGAAGGCATCTCATAATACAGTATAGATCCTACTATGGAAAGAGCTCCAACCATCGCTCATCAAGGGCGAGCTTAAATGCGGTCACGCTTCCTGAATCTACTAATTCCTTTGACAACAGGTTCCAACTGTTCACTACTCCGTTACTGAAGAAGCTGGATCTATCAACTAGGTTGCACCGCTGCTTATGTAGTTTGTACCCATTCCCTCCAGTTCCTTGGCGGATAGCCTCTTGAAACATGCTTTTTTTCCTTACTCCCAAGGGCCCCTTCACAATCTTGAAGGTCTCCAGTAAGTCTCCTCTTAGTTTTTTTCTTTTTAGCGAGAAGAGTCCCAAGTCTTTTAGCCTGTCTTGGTATTACTTACCTTTTGACCTTCAATCATTCGAGTGGCTAGTCTTTGGACTTTCTCTAAACAGGCTGCATCCTTTTGAAGAAGGGGACCCAAGCCTGCACGCAGTACTCCAAGTGCGGCCTAACTATTGCTTTGTGCAGGGGGAGGAATACGTCGGGTTTCCTATAGCATAATGCTAACTTGGGCCTGAACAGCCCTCTCCTCGCCCTCGCCACAGCCAGTACACACTGGTTCTCCCAGCGGAAGTCTACAACCACCGATATTCCTATGTCCCTGCTGGTTTTTACCATCCCTGCGGTGAAATCCCCTCCACCTAGTTGGATTGACAATTGTTCATCGGCACGGGAAAGTAAATTACTTTTATCTACATTCAGTGGGAGGTCCCATACTGTTTCCCATTCCGTTTCTCTACGCAGGTCATCCTGCAATTGCTGCCGACTGGCTGATCCCACTATCTTGACATCATCTGCAAAGGTGAAACATGGCGAACGTAGGACGGCAGTCAGGTCGTCTATAAAAATGAGGAACAGTAAGGGACCAAGTACTGAGCCCTGTGGTACTCCACTATTGGGTATGGCTTTGGCTGATACTTTGTCTCCAATCCTCACGTAAAACGTGCGACCGGTCAAGAATCCACTGATCCAGCTATGTACCTTCCCGCCTATCCCCTTGTGTTTGAGCTTAACCAACAGCAACCTGTGATTGACGGAATCAAAAGCTTTGCAAAAGTATAAATAACAGACTTCCACAGCTTTACCCTCATCTAACCTCGAGAGTACTTCATCCAAAAAACGCAGTAAGTTAGATAAGTATGATCCACCCTTGGTAAACCCGTGCTGTTGAATAATAAACAGCGAGCTTCGGAGTAAATGCTGTGCAATGTGCGTCCTCACTGTCCTTTCTGGGCATTTGCACAAAATACTCGTTAGGCCCACCGGCCTATAATTCTTAATTTGAGATCGTGTTACTCCCTTGTGAATGACAACAGCTGCAGCTGTTTTCCAGTCACTCGGTAGCTTGCCCTGATCTAGGCTGACTTCGTGGAAATCCCCTAGCGGTCTCGCTACTATACCCGCGATTGATTTGACGATTGCCGAGTGGATTCCATCGGTACCTGCAGACTTACGTTCATTTCAGCTAATATTCAATGAACTGCTTCTAATGATACATAAGTATCCTCTATTTCCGCTGTTGGGGGGGTGAGATCCGGTAGTGCCAGGTCGCACTATGCACACTACTGAAGTATGTACAGAAAGCATGTATCTTCTGCTGGTCATCGATGACGGCCCTATCTTCCAGCTGTACAGAACCCATCATCCTTTAATTGAAGTCCTAGGCTTGGGAGTAGTTGTAGAAGCGTTTCGGCTACATTTTGGCTCGGCTGGATAGTTTTACCTCATAGTCCCGTTTACCTTTCCCAATGAGCGAAACTGCTTCGTTACGATGCCTCATGTACTGTCTCCAAGCCATATGGAAACCCAAAGCTCGAAAATCTTTCCAGCTTCGGGTCACGCATGGTCAGATCACAGTCTTGAAGTCTTGAAGTTATTCACGGGTTCGAGGCTATTTCCCAAATGTTCCGGGTCCTTGGAAGGTATCTGTGTTTTCTTTTCGCTCGACTTTTCTCTAGAACAGAGAGTACTGAAAAGGCATTAGTAGGGTTCCCCGCTCAAGGTGAAAAGTAAAATAAGAAATTGAAAACTATCGTATAATTCAAAATTTTTTTCAAAGGTTTTCTATTATTGGGGGGTGATTAGATAAACATAAGTGACGGCCAAGACGAAGTTTGAAGATCCACTTGCTGGGGCGCTAACTATCTCTTGTGGAAGGGCATTTCATAAGGATATCACCCTGAAGGTAAAAAATGAGGCACGCAGAGTGGGCCTCAGACGGGGCTTGAAGTTTTCTTGATATGACCTCTGGTAGGGTCAGAGTCAGCAATGATGAAGATTTTGACAGTACCCGTATCGAAGAGATCGTAGAGGAGAAACAGGTGTCCACGAATAGAGACACAGTTGTTGAAGTCGCTTTGGGTAGGGAGGTACCTGAATCCAAAAACGGGTTTTGTAGCGGCCCTCTGGACACGCTCAAGGCAGTCACCATCTCGGATGAGACCGGAGTGTATAACTTGGCTTCCGTACTCTAAGAGAGGGCGTAAACAAGGGGGAAATCATCCTTTAGAATATGGGGGAAGATCTTTTTATGAGGTTCAGGATACGAAAAGCATCCTTACTAGCTAGATGGTTGTGATACGAGAACGACAAATTGTTGTTTAGCCAGGAACCAAGAACTTTGTATTGGTCCGCTTGGGGTAGAGTGTGGAAACCATCTATTGTAAAAGGGTGAGATAGGTGACCATTGAATGACATCCCAACACACTTGTCATTGTTGATTGAAAAATTCCTGTCCAGTGACCAGCGTTTGGCAGTATCCATTGAGGCCTGCAAAAGAGAAGTGTCTGTATCCCAGATGGTGACATCACCGGCGTACAGCGCAATTCTTGATGATACTAACTAGGGTAGATCGTTTATATAAATAAGGAAGAGAATGGGGCCTAGAACGGATCTTTTCGGAACACCGGTTGTAATTCGGCTAGGCTGTGAGGAAGATTTACCAACCCGCACCGAAAATGAGCAATTTGAGAGGAAGCTACGAATAAGTGCTAGTAAGGGATCTACAATCCCGTGTGCTGCAAGTTTGTGGAAAAGAGGGATTTATAGGATCTTGTCAAAAGCCTTTGCAAAGTCAATGAAAACTGCATGATAGATTTTTCCGGAATCGTGGGCCAGGTAGAAATTCGTGCTGGAAACGAGAAAGAAGATTATCGACCCTGAGGTGCTTCAGGATTTCATCATTTATAAGACGCTCGAAAATTATGCTGGGGATGCTGGTTGGAAAAATGAGACTGTAGCTAACAGGGAAGTGTCCACCGCCGTTTTTGTGGATGAGGCAAATAACAGCATCTCTCCAGGAAATGTTCCCTCATCTATATTGCGTTGGAAGAGAAGAGTGTACGGGGCAGCTTGTATCGTCTTGTATCGTCTGAGTGCACTATTAACCTAGGGTGTTTATTATTAGGTCCCATGGAGCAGTACGGATTAGTGCTCAGGAATCTCTTTTCAACCTTATCTTGTGAGAAAATGATGGATCATATAGATGAATTGGTGTTCAGCAGCTGCAGCATGACTGATTGAGCACCGGAGGGGAGTTGAATGTTTTCTGTAAGTGTGATCAGAAAGTATCCGCCAATTTTGTTGGGATGAGACAAGTGATTCATCTAGGTTACTGAGAGCTATGGGGTAGAGAGAGGGATTACGCAAGCTACGGATGTAGTTAAAGAAGAAAGACTTTCTTCGAGCATTGGTAAGTATAGTCATTTGGGTGTACCTCTGATGCTCCCAAATTTTGTGTCGGCAGTGGTTTCTAACTTGTTTAAAAGCATCTCCGTTGACCGTGAGACGGGTACTCTAGTATCTCGCAAAAGCTTGTCCCTTGTATGTAACAGCCAGCGAATATGGCGAGAGAGAGAGGTGGCTTAGCATAAGATGCAGTTCGAATTCGGGGAACGAATTGTGAGTATGCGAGAGAGATGGCCTACTATATGTGACTGACGAGGTGGTTGACATACATTTCAGAAGAAGGACAGATGTTTAGTTGCATAAATCGGTTTACAGTTTCGAATGTTGTGCTTTTGAAGGAACGAACGTACCAAGTGTTATCGCTAAACAGATTCCAAGTTACTATGTAGTCAAAAGTCAGCTAACATGGTCACTTTGTTCAAGATGAGAAAGCTGGTTAATGACATCAACCTGGTGTCATTCATTGGTGATGACTAGATCTAGTAAAGATCGGGTGTGTCCATCTCTGTACCTGGTTGGAAAAGATACGTTCTGCGTCTAGGATTTATCGACTAGAAGGTAAGTAAGAGGGTGACCAAAGGAAACGTCTGTCAACAAAGTCTTCTGCAAGTCGATGCCTGGACATTTGAAATCACCTACCACGAGAAAGTGGGCATATTGGGAACTCTCCGTGACAAATCTAGGAGATTGGACTGCGGAGGGCGATAGACTAGGCACATCAGGAAATTGATCGCCCCGGAGATCTAAATCAGATCCAGAGACTATCTATGAGAAGGATAGGATCAAGGTTTAATTAAGATTGGAGGGGGGAGATGGTGCTTAAAATAAATTATGACCCCACCTGCTCTTCCGCGTGTTGAGTCTTTTGTAGTAATTGTGCGTGAGGTGTGTGATGTAACGGGGTGCTGGTGAAATAGACAAACGGCTACATAAACAGGATACGGGTAGTAGCTGAGACAATTGTTAGTCATACTCGGGAAACACCCCGTCCCAGCAGTTGTCTGGTTTCTGTTTGAATTGCAAAACATTAGTTACTGCTACTAATGTAGATGGTAACTTGTTTCATACAGGCATTAACCAAACTCGTGCAACATCATGACTTTTCCCAAATCGATTTATCTCATTGCCAAACGTTTTGATCCTCATGCACGGGCATGTGCATGGTATTACCCTAGGTCACTCGCAAAATTTTTATAGTACTAATAAATTATATGGTTGCTTCTTTTGGCCGGGCGCGTTAGAAAAGTACAATTTCTCCATTTCGACTATGGTTGCTGACGCATCGACTGTAAGATAACCGAACGTTTGTGGGGAGAAATGATAAAAGTTTATTCGTGAAAAGAACTTATATCAATTACACAGATTGAGGAGTTTCAAATTTTTAATAATCTGTGTG